GGATGATCATTTTCTCCTCCATTCCTCTACAGGTGTTGGAATATCTCCATCAAGGCTTTCATAGACGGCAGAAGAATTTGGGTTTTTTCTCAACACGAGATTAAGTAAAGGCTTTTGGTATACCTGTAAAGTGTGATTGTGTGGATGCAGACACAATAAAGGAGAAAATGTGGGAGGGTGAACATTTTGTACGGACTTGAGGGAGAGAGGAAATGTGGGTCTCTTCTCGCTCCCCTCCTCTGTCGCTTTCACTCAGCACTGAGTGAGAAACACCATCTCCTTGCCTGACTCCCCACATCTCTTTGGGCTTTTATTTAAGCTTCAAGGGGACCATTTGCAATGAAAGATTTATACTTTGTAAGACAAGGCGAAGGAGACAAAAAGGCACAAAAAGAAAACCCCATTTCATGAAGTGAAGAGGCAACAGAAAGGAATTGTCTGTAATTTGCACAGGTAAGATACTTTATCTACTGAAGAATGAAATTCAAAAATACTTTCTTCTTCTGCTTATAATTAAGAAGTATGATTTACAGGAGGTCAAGTTCTATTTTCTAGAAAAAAGAAAATATTAATCACCAATTGCCTTTGAAAATTACTTCAGTCTGATATTGTTTAATCAGAAGTAAGAACAGCAGCCTAAAATGGTCCAATTCAGGGAGGCTAATTTATCAACATCTGTTACTTTTAAATGGGAAAGCATAAGTGAAATTAAAAAAATATTTTCAAAGAAAATTGCAATTTTCTTCTGGTATGATCTCTCACACAATATATGCTTTATGAATATAATATATTATATCTATTTTTATTTATATATAATATAATATATAATATATCAGGCAGCATAGTGGGTAGCACCATCGCTTCACAGCAGGAGGGTTCTGGGTTCAATTCCCAGAGGGAAACCAGAACCTTTCTGTGTGGAGTTTGCATGTTTTTCCTGTGTCTGCATGGGTTCTCTCCGGGTTCTCCGGCTTTCTCGCACCATCCAAAAAAGACATGCATGCTGGCTTGGTTGGACATTCCAAATCGCCCTTAGGGGTGAGTGTGCATGGTTGTTCGTTTCTGCGTGTCTATATGTTTGCAATGGACTGGCGGACCGTCCAGGGTGTAGCATGTCTCTCACCCACTGAATACTGGGATAGGCTCCATTCCTACGAAAACTGGCAGAGGGGTTATATAGTACAGACTGGGCTGGTATCGAAGGTCCATATGTGTATATAGACAATGTGAGAACAAGACAATTGCGGATCCGCTGAGTCCTCCTGTATAAAGTCAGTTTAACACGGCAACCTTAAGGTCCTAAGCATTAAGTTGTTGCTTGCCAGAGCCAATGTTGTTAGAAAGACTTTAACCTCTGGTAATGAAATGGTCAGCAGGCGATAATAACATTTAGCCAGCAGTTGATCATCAGCCCTGCAGAAACGGAGACACAGCAAAGCAGTTCTGAGAAAGTTCAATTAAAGTTTAAAACACCTCTTGTCAGCACACACGTTCAAAACCGGAAAATTAGTAAGAAACATCTCCCTTGTGTGCATTACATTTTATATAGAGACACAAATATCTGTTATTCAATTGAACTTAAATAATCGAGCTCTCTGAATACTAATGATGCAGAGTCTGCTTGATAATCCAATTTTAGACAAACAGATAAGTTGGAATTGTTTAGAATTTCCTCTGTCCTCATTTATGTTTTACATGTGTATAACCTCTGGCTCCAGCTTTATCTGGATGCCTCAGCAGCCCCAGAATGATGGACAGAGAAAATTCCCACTAAGTGCTCCATTCAGGAAATGTCAGTGGAACAAAAAAAGTGAATGTGAGTTTGTACTGTGGAAAAAAAGCAGACTAAACTGGATGAGAGAGCATCTATTGGTTCTGTCCTTCCTGTTTTGCATTTTGAGGGTGCTCAATTCTCATCACGCCTCACAAATTAGCCGCAGGGTCTGGATGATTTCCACAAAGGCCATGGCAACAGCGTTACTAGGCGAGGGTGGGTTTCTTCGAAGCTGTCAGATAAGGTAGACATTTGTGAGACCAGATGGGATCAAGAGTCATGCTCATTCTGTGGATAATTGACATGGTCATGACAAATTAAGAGTAGAGGACATAGTTCAGTCTGCAACTGAGACGAGCTGATGCTGACAAACAGGTTGTAAGGTGGACACTGAACATTATCAGGCCATTCTAACGGATTTCTACGGTACACACATCAGGTTATTCAAGTGGAACCATCTGCTAAAGATTTAATCTGCTGAGTTAATTTATTTTTGCTGTGAAGAGATTAAAGAGTCAGCTGTACTGTCTCCTTTCTCAACCCAGGCTTTATTAATAGGCTGATTTTTTTTATCTGTCATTTTCTGTGAGGACAAAGCAGCCAACACAATAAAAACTCATGCTTTCATTAACCTTTGATGCAGACTTTCTAACTAAACATCGTCAATGGGTATAACACACTTGGCTGAAATACCCTGCTGATGTTCAGGTGCTTTAATCCGTAATGATTTTCAAAGCCAACAACATGTTCGCCGCATCATAGCCATTAAGCCAATCAGTGAGTCCTCCTGCTCTGCAAAAATCAATCACCTTTGAATGGCAGTTGCCTTGGCTTCCAAGAGATTTTGCACTTAAATTCTTACAAAAAGAATTTAAATTCTTACAAAAGAATTCTAAAATTAAATGTCCTTTGTGGATTTGTATGGAATGCTTTTACATTCTTCAGACTTTTCAAACAGGGAAAGCAGGATTCTTAAATATTTGAAAGCAATGTTTTTTCTCCGTATATGTTCCCTGATTGAAAGCACAGAGGGAGGCTGACACTTTGCTTTTGTCCCTGTGTGTAAGCTGCACCATCTGTCTGGCTAACAGACTTTCAGCCTTAATAAGTTCAAAGACTCTCCCAGGTGTTAAATAAATGAACAATGACACCATTTTAATGAAAAAGTCCAAAGAAATGTGGTACCCATTAAAACAAAAAAAGAATTTTGCATTAGTCCGGTGGGTTTATCCTCACTGTTGATCTACACAAACTGCACGATCAGATTTACTCCAAAATATGCATTAGCTCAGTTGTTCAAGAGCTGTTGAGATTAGATGTATGATAATGTGAAAGTGAGACACATGCTGCAAAATGCTTTGCAGGGATTCCAAACCATGATTTACTTGCCAATATGTGACCACCTTAAAATTTACACATTAGAGTTAGTCATGAAAATCCATGTCAGCATTAATATTCACAAACACAAGTCAACGTTTTGATATCAATGGATTTTGTGCACCTATGCACAACATATTGCTCTTTACTTGTGAAAGTGGATTGATGTTAATTTGTTTGGTTCACTGCACTCAAACAGCATTTTGGCTAAAATATCTTTTGGGAAAAACAACTAATATATTTCACAGTCAATATAATGGAAACAGTGTTGTGTGGAGAAAGGTCACGATTTTGATTTCAGATCCGAGAGAAGTAGACTGATGAAAGAGCTTCACTGACATTCTGAAGTGGAGGCACTGATTTACTTTATAGCCAATGCAGCTGTTTGCTCTTACATTAACTTCCAAAACTTAAAGGCCACATGGTGATGGAGATCAGCCACCTGTGCAAGATGAGAATGCTGCATCGTGCCTGTAAATACCAGGCACACAACTGTGTATGTATGTTAAAGACTTTGAACCTATAATACCCCACTAAATCTACCATAAATATCCTTTTAAATATTGTCTAATTCAGTTCTGTCAGTATAAGATATTTGGACATCTCTCTGTTGCACAGTAAATGAATTGTTAAAGCTTTTAATAGGCACTCTGTGGGTGAGAATTTATTTTTATTCTAATCATGTGAAAAGACTAATCTCGTCTTTAACATTAATGCAGGTTATACAAGAACCAGTTTCAACTGTTATTAAACTATCTTTATGCGTGTGTGCACTGTAGAGCTAACAGCTGTCCTGCAAATTAGCAAGAAATTGGATTTTGGCGCAAGTTGAGGAAGAAGCCATGATAATGTTGAAATGCATGGTACATCACAAGGCCCTGGGAAATTAGAAAAATGTGCATCATATAGACTAGCTCTGTGGACACGGTACAAAATGCTTTTGAGTCTTCTTCAAGAGAAATCAAAAGGAAAACAATTTTCTCCACTCACAAGAAAGCTGCCAGGGAAAAATCTCCTAACACTTCCATGATGGTTTCAAAAATGTCCTCTGTGAACTTTATCGCTGGAGTCCCAATGCAGCATAAAGAGCAGCAGTTTTAAAGCTATTAATAATTTGTACATTTAAGGTCATTTGACAAAAATAGGGACTAAAAGTGAAGTCAGCGAGGCATTCATAAGCTTAATGTCCACCACAGTCAGAGCTTTAGAGATTTTATAAAGTGAAGAGATATCGTGACATGTTGGCACGTTCATTCTCTCCAGTGGTCCATATAATCAAAAGGCACCGTTGAGAGTTTCTTCTTTTTCAAAGAAAAATGTTTGCTTCACATTACACTTTACACAGCCATTTCTTCTGCTTTTTGTCATTATTTTTGTCGCGAGAATAATGCTGTGTATGAATACCATGCATGTTACTTTGAAGAGTCATTATGGTTTAATTATCATTATTGCCCTTATTGTTTTATTCTGAGATAACAATTTGTCTTAATCCGGTAGACTAGAAAAATGTTTATATCAAAATCATTGTTTACGTTTGCGTAAACTCATGTATGTGGGAAATTTGTCTGACAGCGCACATGCTTGGTAGCTCGTAATCTATTGATGGTACCATCTCATTTGCCTTTTCAGGAGAGTTTAAAAGGAAAAGTTAGCTGTTATTTTGGGGATTACTGGCTGTCTGGTGAGTCTTTTTATTAAACTTTTGAAACATAAAGTTGTCTGTTCAGTTGACATAATGTTGTAATATTCCATAATTGTTTGGCATTTAAAACCTGCCTTAAATACTTTTTTTCTGCTAGCAACCATGTAGTCAAAGTTGAAATGATTACTGATTAATTCCTCCATTTTCTTGTACTGGTGGATTTACCTATGTTTATGTTTGTCTTTAAGTTTTATCTGCAGGAGCATGGAGATTTTCTCAGGTGACAACTTGACCATCCATGCTAACACTAGCCATGAAACAGTAGGACAAGAAGGCACCAAAGGCCAAGGACTAAACAACAGTGACCCCTTAGACATGTTCGTGGGCATGGAGCTTCTCCTGCGGTTCCGGGCTCTTTTTCTGCCTCTCTACTGCCTTGTAGTCGTTGTTGCCGGAGTTGGAAACTCCTTCCTGTTGGCTTGCATATTGGCTGACAAGAAACTCCACAATGCCACCAACTTTTTCATCGGTAATTTAGCAGCTGGGGACCTGCTGATGTGTTTGAGTTGTATTCCGCTGACTGTGTCGTATGCCTTCGACAGCCATGGCTGGGCTTTTGGAAGACCTCTCTGCCACTTAGTCCCCTTGCTGCAATGCGCCACAGTGTTCGCCTCAGTGCTCTCACTCACAGCCATTGCTGTGGACCGCTACATTGTTGTAGGTAAACAACCCAAGCTTAATATTTAACCTTTCTGTTTGATATATGGTTGAAATATGAATCCACTAGAACAACATTGAGTTCCATGGGTCATTCATAACCATGGGATTGATAAAGACCACACTTTAAACTAATGATTTACTCATTTGACCTAATGTGATGATAATGAGGTGATGTTAATAAGTGGTGGTTAACATGCATATGAAAAAAAGACAGGCACCTCACATTGTGACTTCTGTTTATTTCAGCTCACCCAGTACGGAGAAGAATCTCTGTGTGGGGTTGTGGTGCAGTGACTTTGGGTGTCTGGCTCTTATCTCTCACCCTGGCCGCACCTCCATCTCTTTACACTCGCTACCTTGATCTGCGGCCCAGTGGCATTGACCTGGTGGTGTGTGAGGAATTCTGGCCCAACAGCGGCAATCTACGCTTTCTCTACTCCTGCTTCATTCTCACCACCTCCTATATGATCCCCCTGCTGTCTGTCAGCATATCTTACTGTGCCATCACCGTCAGCCTCAGACGCTACTCAGTCCCCGGTGAGCCGTCCAGCAGTCAGCAACGCTGGAGTCAAAGGAGGAGGAAGACCTTCTCTCTGCTGGTGGCCTCCGTGCTGGCTTTCGCCCTTTGCTGGCTACCTCTGCAGGTGAATGTGAGGAAAAACTAAATGTGAACAGTTCAGTTTAGGCCAAACTTTGTTTGTTTTTTTGTTTTTTTCTTCTCTCTTTAACTCGAGGAATATCTGGAGGAAGTATGCACATTCAGCCATTTAGATCTATCAGCTAAGCATAAGCTCAATGGTAGTGAAATTACAATAAGTGATTCCTTTACTGTCTTTGAAATTATTAGATTTCATGCATCATTTAACACAGATGCCCACCATCACATTATTGTCTATAAAACATTATGTTGTCAATGAGCCATGTTGAAGGCCAAAGAATCTGGATTTCAGTTTGAAGAGGGAGATAATGTTGACACTGTGTTGCATTTGCAGAGAACAAGAGTTTTTGCATGCATAGCTTATAGGAATATCACAAATGGTGCTTTAGTTTTATTTCAGATCCACATGAAAGTTTGTTATAAGCTTTCAACACCATTGCATTTCTTTACACATCATAGTAAAATACGAGTTTGGTAAAATTTGTGTTTCATGTTACAATTTCTGTGAAACAGTTAGAGTGACATCTACATGTAAGTCATAATGTCAAAAAGAAAAGCTGTAAAAGCTCACAAATTATTTTTAAAGATGTCGACGATTTTGGGCCCGCTATTTCTGACCTTTTTGAAAATGTGATGTGTTTTTGTTTTTTTCTTTATTTCTTTCTTCTTTTAAACATAATTCTAATGTTTTTGCTCTGTAGGTGCTGAACCTGTTACTGGATCTGGATCCGAATTTCCTCATCATAGGGAAGCGCTATATAAATGTCTTACAAGTCTGTTGTCATTTAGTGGCAATGAGCTCTGCATGTTACAACCCATTCATTTACGCCTCACTGCACAGTAAGGTGCGCATGCACCTGAAAGGCTACTTCTGCCCATGCCGCAACCGCCAGAGGGGAATGGTGGAGGGAGTGACATCAAGGAGCTGATTTTTTGGGGTATAACTTATCTAGCTGTTCAAAAGAAGCAGAGCACATCTCTAGCCACAAGCCAACATCGCCATCCAAATGATATTGTTGATATTGGAGGTGAAGAAGGCAACAATACCGCTCAACGTTCATATAAACCATTGTTCATCATGCCTTTCCAGCATTTTGTGATTTTAAGGGGTTCGTCCTGACCCTCATGGGGTCTAGAGCTAAATATGGCTAATTACTATGAAACACAAGTGAGGAAGCAGATCGAGACTGGGCCGTGGACAGTGTGAAATATAATGATAAAGCAGAGGAAAGTTTAAGCCGTCTATTTGGGTCGCTTTGTTTTTCTTGATAGCAAACTTGCTGGCAGAGACATAAAGCAGATTCATCTTGAAAGGCCAGCAGAGGCATAAACCAGCCATGAGGCTGACAAAACCATTTGGAACAGCTGATACCTCCTGTAAACACATAGCTTCAGACACCTTACTGAATAAGGAACTACTCTCACCATACATGCATTTCAGCCCGAGAGGAAGAATTAAAAAGGACATTGGCCTGCGATTACATTTTTATTACCATCTAATTTATGTGACATCTGATTAACATTTTATTTCTTTAGATTAAAAGCACTTTAAGTAGCTGTTTTTTGTATTCTGCTATTGTGTTGTTCCTAAAATGTATGATTTATAGCAGTTCCGCAGTGTCAATATGGAAATGTATGTTTATCTGTGTACGTAGTGTTATTAATCACAGCTCATGGGTCAAAACATCAGTGATGACAGAAGTGAAAGATGAATGATTAAGCGTTTCTAACATCCTCTGACCCTTCATTTACATCATAATCAGTACCAAATTCATAAGGATGTTCCCAGACAAACACAGCCAGTGCTTTAGATATGCCTGGAAAATAAGACAGAGACAATGATCATCTTGATATTCAGAGCATGAACAATGCAGTCGCTCACAAGCACATCTGTGCTGACATCAAATCTGTTAAGTTATCATCAAAAGATTGATGCTTTCGAACCTTGTTTATCAGATGAGATCCAGACTCACCAGAGAGCTGACCAATCAGATCAAATTTGAATGGAACTGGAATTAGTTTTCTTCATTTTTGTCCTCCAGACATTTAATTTTTATTTTCCTGCTCACTAGGACATAAAAAAAATATATTACACAGATTAAATTGCCAGATTGTCCGAAAAGAAAAATCCTAATTATTTGTTTGGCCAAGCTAGAAGAAGAAAATACCCGGTGCATCTTTGGTGTTTTTCCGGCTCTCTCGTAAGTGCTGCTGATACCAGCTGTCCCTTTTCCACATTCAGAGAACTCCATTTGCATTTATTTTCTCTCCAGTTGAACCGTGTGAAAACATTCTGTTCTTTTTATTCAATTGTAGTCTTAATGCTTTTTGTGAACGATTTAAAGTTTTAATATTTAGAGCAGAACTTCTTGTTTAAAAGGGAATTTTATGTTCTCCTTATCCACTGTCCCAAAGCCTCATAATGTAGTGAGCCAGATGCTTAGCTATAAAGTGTATAAAGGACAAACATCTCAGCATAATTAAAGCCAAATGATTGCACTGTGGGTGTAAAATGTTGTATCATCTCTCTACCCTCCACAGTCAGCAGTGACAAGCAGATAAGGCCTTCACACTAAGCAGACAGACAGCTTGTTAATGGAGTCCTGATTAACATGTCCATTTAAACCCAAAGCCTTTTCATCCGCCTTCTCTGTTAATTGGATAACTTCTCTGGCTCTTTCTTTGCTTCAAATTTAATTTAATTTCTGATTCATGGATACAAGTTTCCTAAGACCGATACAGTCATTTAGGGTTATTGGCAAAGAATTGTTTGGTGGGAACAAAATGAGTTTTTTTTTCAGACAGAATGTAATCAATCAGTGTAAATTGAACCAGATTTTCATTTTCTGAGTTACCTAAATATGTTTTAATGTGGAAAAGTAATATTAACAGCATGTGCACTTTTCTTTTGTTTCAGTAAACCTGATCAAACAATTGTCTCACTGATTAAAGTAGTACACCTGTGAGATCATTATTGCGGTGCTTCTTGGTAAATGTCTGACTTTGCTAAACAAATGTGGTTTGCTTCTGGTGTTTCATTATCTTATTAAACTATACGAGCAGATCAAGCTGTGGCTTTTTCTTGTGCTAACAATGTAATTAGCTAAGCTCTGAACGGTAGTTTTAAATGATTGTTTCTCAGCTTCTATCCTCTGATTAAAGAGCAACAGCTGATCCATATCATTTTAATCTCAGTCGTGAAATAGGATTAAATAAAGCGATATAATTTTGGCTTTAAAGGAAATAAGGTGATGATCAGAAATCCCACACTGATTTAAAGTGCTTAATTTCTTCTTAATTGAGTGCCAGTGATTGTGAAATTCCACAGTCGGATTGTTTGGCCTGTACGCAACAATCCATCCATCCATCCATTATCGTAACTGCATATTCCCTAATGGGTTCGCGGGGGGGAACTGGATCCTATCCCAGTGGTCAATGGGCAAGAGGCGGGATACACCCAGTCCATCGCAGGGCCACACACAGAGACGTACAAGGACAAACAACCACTCACACTCACTCCTAAGGGCAATTTGGAATGTCCAATCAACCTAGCATGCAGGTTTTTGGACTGTGGGAGGAAGCCGGAGTTCCTGGAGAGAACCCAATGGTGCAAACCACCACACCACCATACTACCCACACAGTAATCCATGTGTGTAATTTTCCCTTTTTTCATTATATAGCCCTTCATCAGATAAATGCAGGACCTGCCCTTGTTGATTTGTGTCCTTCAATAGGACTTTCTTTTGTTTTTCATGTCAACTGACAGAGTAAACACCACAGATCATAGAAATATGTTCTGTAAAAATATTATCGAAATGTCACAAAAATTGTTTTTGATAATATTAGTCAAGACAGGAGGACAAAGGGGGAAGAACATGCACACTGAATGCTATGCAGAACCCAGTACTTCAAATGTGCTAACAGTGGCTTACTTGTCCTGGTCCCAACTCATCACAAACTGCTAATTAGGTTTACTAAACTTGATCATAGTCATGGACTGGTGTCATGGCCAGTGTGATTTCACGGTGTAGATAGTCTGGGGCTTTCTTACTCTTTTTTTTTTTGTCTCTCAACACAGAACATTGTTTTTTTACAGAAATGTGTAACTTTGACTTTATCCCTGTAGTTCTCCATGTGTGCTGTAATTAGCAGATTTCGAACACAACAGGTGACAAGATTGTTTTTGTCTCGCTGTGAAAAAAAAGAAAGAACATGAATTGATCTTTTGATTTTGTGCTAATCTAGATGGAATTGATCCAGTTTAAGCAGAGTAATATACAACTCTGTTGCCTATTTGCTGAGAATCCTTCAATCTCTGTGATTTAGGATGCCCCGTGTTGATCAACAAGTTACAATTAACACAGACCTTTAGACAGTAATTGTGCTGCTCTATTGTTTGGAGCTCACAATTTTACTAATGACAAACACTCAACATTAATAAGTAGCACTAAAGACCAAATTTGCATGTAAATATTTTCTTTGGTTAAAAATGTCATACTCTACCAATGACAGAGTGTTTATCTGTGGTCACAAACAATCATTAGACAAAATATATACTTCTTTACATTGTGTTATTGATTATTTTATAATTACACAATTAAAAACCGCTTTGGTTGACTAATTAAAGGAGTCTGAATATCAAGGCCGAATGTTCAATTAAAATGAACACAATAACATAATGAGCTGAAGGAGACCAGTGATATGCTGCTAATGGAATTAAATATTAAGTGAGTAGAGATTTTCCATTGTGGGAAAATAAATTAAAAAGTGTTCTGTTCTGTTCCTCACAGCACTCTACTTAGCACTAAAAATGCCCAAGAATAGCTCATCAGTACAGTGCATTTACGACCAAGCCTGGGCTATTAGTCATAACAGCTAATCAATGAACCCATACTGTATCGATTCTCAAGGAGTCTGGTAACTGCCTCAGTTGGCCCATTAAGAGCTGCTCCTGGAGAAAATGGATCTGTAATATCTAACCCTAATGTTCCCAGGTGATTGAGTGCAACTTTATTTTCTTCAAACTTAAACAAGATTACTTTTTCCAATTGTCTACTACCCTCAAGATTGCTCTCGACCTCTCTTTTACTGGGTACATAATCTAAGTACAGTCTCCAGTAAAGACCTTTGGCACAATTCCATAGGTCACAGAGATACAGTAAAAGATCAGCAACATTGCTCTGAAAAGGCTTTCACTGGATTAGCTCTGCAGTTTTATTGATAGCTGTGTCAAAGGGAGGTCAGGGATTGATTGGCCAGCCGTCACATTGTGACTTTTTGTGTGTAAACTGTACTGATATTTTTTTATATGACATACAGCAACAAGAGAAACAGCAATTGTGCCTCTCCAAAGACATGTGTATGACAGTCACTTTTTTTTTTTAAATCTGACTGTTACAAAAGAGGAACCTGCTTTCACAACGCTCAACCCTGGAAATGAGCAGAGAATCTTCACAAAGGTTGGAATGCCAACATTTTTTGACCTTATATCGGATGAAAAATAGAGTTAAAGACCTATTTAAAATCTCTGAACTCAATTGATATACTACATCAGAAAGCAGATGGCAGTATTCACAGTATTTTCAGTGATGCATTTAGGGAAAGGTTCCAATGAAAATCAGTCAGGCTTTGGACTCTGAACTTCCTCTTCTATCTACCCACACTGCAGTGCAGGATCAAGAAGAGAAACTGGCAGTCACTGTCAAGTATTTCCAAGTCAAAGTAAGCTCTGTTGGCACTTGAGTCATCTCTGGAGCTGAAGGCCCCAGTAAAAAGGAAAAGATTAATACACGGCAGATCATCAGGGAGGGGTGAGCCGTAACCTTATGGGCACGAACAGACATGTAACAAATACTCATCACAGGTCAGAAGCTCAATGTATTAGTGTCAAACACTGGCATGTTTTCGTTGTTGGGCGCACAGTACAGGAGGTTTTGTCTAGTTCCTGCATGTAAATGAGTGATTTTTTAAGAAAAAAAACAAAGGGGGCCGATGGGCTCTGTAAAGACATGGAAGTTGGTTAGGTTTTATGGAGTGTCTCAGAATAATCTGTCGTTGTTTATCGGTTGATGATGATATTTTCTTTAAACTGTGTGTAAAAATACATAAAAACTGTTAATCCACAGTAGCTTTATTAGATGGTTGTAGCATAGTGAGAGTGTTGCAAAGCCTGGATAGTCCTCCACCCTGGAAGTGGTAACATCTCAACTAAATTCAGATATTGTAATACACACAACATGAAAACAGAGCACCACAATAACACAGGTAAATAAGCTGTAAACTTAATTTGATTATGTACATGGAAAGATGTATCTGAAGATTACATTTAAAATCCCTTTTTACAGTTTCCGGTCCAATTTGTTGACATCAATAGAGGCATAAGAAAAATCTTATTGTAATTTAACTTTTTCCGTTCACTTCAAATTCTACAAAAGCATGTAATTGCTTTTCTCCTTTCTTCCTGTCTTTTATTTTCGAAATGTGCATCTGAATTGGGGAATGCTGAATATGAAATCAGGTGGGAATGAAATAAGCTCTCCATCACATTAGAATTCACACCAAAGCCTCCTCATTTTTTTTTCTTCGCCCACTTGACAAATATATAGCACACAGCTGTGCTGGATGTATGATTACCTTTATGACAATTGCTTTGGTACGTGGGCTTAAAATCTTTATCCCTCCCTGTTGCTGTGCTTTAAATGTCAGCTTCAAAAGTGTTCCTTACTTATTTCATCTATGATTTAGATAATCTAAAACTAATATAACCATCACTTGTTCAAACCACTGCTATCTTACTGTCTCCAATTGTACAGCGAAAGCAATGCAGGCACAGCACAACATGCTTGACAATGAATGCACATTTAGTCATACAAATGGCACACAATCATGCAATCATTTTAGACATAGAAAACAGAGGAGGTCTTCAATTCAAGCAGATTCAAACAACAAACTAAATCAGTTGCTAGAGGAGAAGTCTGAGGAACCACAAGTTTATAGTCCAATTGTGCAGCCCTGAGATACATGTTTTTTTCAGCCTCATTAGATGCACAGACAAATGCAAAGGATTAGCTCTCCAGATTTTTTGAGTTGTTCGTGCAAAAAAAAGTTCATCACTGGGTTTAAAACTGCGGTACAGGTTGATTCCGAGGTTTTGACCATAAGATGACATGCTTGTATGTAATGCCAATACACGTCTTTATATGAAGCCAGAACTATTGGACTTTCCTTTGTTGGATGCTGTTAAAGCACGGTCTTCTGTCGGTATGCGTTCCTGCTTTTTACAGCACACTTTCAATTTCTCCTTGAGTCCATTGGTGACCAGGACATAGAGCACTGGGTCCACCACGCTGTTCAGACTGGACATCGCCAGTGTGCATGAGAAATAGAAGTGCGTCTTTTGTTCAAACTGGCAGTAACTTCCTCCTGCCGTGTGGTCACTAGCATTGTAAAAGACCAGCGAGCGTATGAGCAACAGAATGTGATATGGAGCAAAGCAAAATGAGAAGATACCGATTACTCCGAAAGAGAGCAGACGGACTTTTCTCTTAGCCTGGGCACTCAGGCCAGGACTTTGTCCCACGGTGGCCAGCACTCTCCAGTAGCTCACAGCCAATACCAGCAGGGGCAGCAGAAAGCCGAAGCCCACCCGGAGCAGGTTAAACATAGCCACTGGCTTCTCCATTGGGTACTTCTCATAACAACGGTCGAGGCTGTTTTCATCGTCATGGGCGTCTTTGAGATTGTCGTAGATCAACACAAAGATGTGTAGTGCAACCGTTAGAATATAAACAACGGCACACTGCACCCACGCATAGTGAGATGATCGGTGGGCCTTGAAGTGCAGCGGGTAGCAGACCACCAGACAGCGATCCACAGAGATGCAACAGAGCAAGTAGATGCTGATGTACATGTTGGAGTAGTAGAAAAAGCCAGCCACGCTGCAGGATGCAGCACCTAGCTTCCAGTTGTGGTCGTGTCGGTAATAGTTTATCCAGAGAGGCATGGTGCAGATGAAAAGCATGTCGGATATGGAAAGGCTGAGCAGGAAGATTCCTAGAATATTTTGCTGCCTTACTTGGTGAATAATTGGGAACAGAGTCAGTACATTGAAGATCAAGCCAAAGATAAAAGCCAGGATGTAAACAGACATCAGGAAGTCGCTGAAGGCACTTTCTCCAATCTTAACACACACAGTTGAGTTTGTGACGTTCATTCTGTCTTTAGGTTTCTATTCCCTTTGCTGGATAGAGATTTACCTGAAAAAAAACAAGAAAAAAGAAAGATGTTACATTTTTTAGCAACAGCTAATAGACACTTTTAACATACCTTGGAATTCATAGATAACCTTTTTTATAAAGAAAGATGTGATTTTTTTAAAGAGAAAAATGAGATAAAATCATCCCTCCAGATGCAAGACAGTTGGACTTACAAGTATATGTTGTCTATATGATGAATACTTCTTTTGTCTTTCTTTTTGTAAAGGTGTTGTTTCTATGAATACCAAGAGCATTTAGAAACTATTGTCCCCGTCAGATTATTTGGATGTCTTCTCAGTTCTTCTCAAACAGACATATATGTCTTGTGAAAGAGTAAGGTTGGCAGTGAATATAATGCTTTTTTCATAATTTAACATGATTTGGATCAGAAAAAAAAGATGCAGGCATTTGTCAGAGTTTGAAGAATGAATATTAAGAACATCTTACACGATAAGAACGAACCAATTTAATCTCACCCCGCTTTACTCTGGATGTAACACCAAAACTGCTCTATAGCAGAACATTAGAGATATGAGTCACAACTCCCAGACATATACGAGATTTTTTTGTTCTACCTCCTATTTAATTAAAAGTTGCTGCTTCTGAAGTAATACAGGAAGAGCAAAAAAAAAGTTTCTATAGCAGCTAGTTATAATGTGATTGTAAAATAAAAACAGTACCATGTTTGTTCTTGGAGCAGATATTTAATTCGGTTAATACATTTTACAAAAGATACTTTTTTAAGTTTCCGTTTGTTTTCAGTATTAAAAGATAGATTATTTTAAAATGTGGACCACTTTCCTGTGGCTTTTTTCGTAATAGTTTCCTGTGTGTGTCTGGCGCCTTCTCTCACAGACCTGGTGTGTTTATGGGCTCAGGAAGCATCAAACACAATTAACATCAAGAAAATTCAATAATGGAGAAGCCGTCCAGTCAGCACATCTGTAGTGCATGTCAGTCATACACAGTACGCGTGTGCGCAAGTGTGTTTGAATGGATTTGATTTAATGGAACTATTTTCAAACTGAACATGCATTGGGACTCTGTGGTAATACTGGAAACTATGATAACATTTGTAAAAACCCTTAATCAGTCTTACAGTCATCAGTCTGGGGCCCATGACTAATCTTTTAGTGGTCTTCCCACTCTGGTATTATCAGTAACTGCTAGTTTCTGTTCCCTTCTCACGCATACAAATCTAAATTAACTTTTTATATATATAACAGAGCCAACCAGAGCTAATCTGTCCATAATTCAAACTCATCTGACAAAAATTGTTATGACATCTTTGACTTTTAAAAGATAAAACTCCTGCCTTTTCTCCCAACTAGGAGGTGTGTTGTCTGCCAGATTTGCTCTCTAACCACGTGGAAATATATTTTCTTGACATGTTTGAAAGCTTGTCAGAGCTGGATTTTAAGGGGTTGCAATCCAACTTTAAACATCCACATTTTCTTCTTATCAAACAGCTTTCTGTTCGGAAATGTGCTGCGGTGACAGCCACAGAGAGAAAAGCTGATATATATTCGACAATGCAGAGGTTCAACAGTACAACCTAATTGTACAAACAAACCACCTCTGGCACAGTCACTTTTTCCTTCTGAAACTGCTCACTCAGGGTCAGATAAAACTCAACTTAACAGCACGCACTTAAGAAAGAGTGCAAACACTGCTGGCAAACATTTGAAAGACTATGTCACATCGTTACATACAGAACTTTGGTAAATAATTACCTCACCTGTTTGTTTTCTGTATTACCGCTTTAGTTGGAGGTGTGTCTTGTTTGTCAAAGAAAGGTGTCCAAGTGGTGAGGATTTTCAGATGCATTCCTCAGCTGCTCCAGCTTTGGTCGAGGCAGGTCAGGAAACACGTTTCCCCGAAGAGCTTGTTGAAGACATGCAACAACAGTCCCCCCGTGGTCCTCTTCATGTTCCCTCAGAGGGAAAATGATCTGGCTTCAAACTAAGCAAAAGACACAAAATAGGTTTCTTTTTCCTTCTGACAATCTTGTGGTAAGAGAGCCTGGTGTTGAGAGCAACAGCTGAAGGGACACACGGTGCACGGTGAGTGAGACAAAGTACAGAAAGGGGAAGAAATATGTACAGTAGGGGGAGGGAGGTTTAGCAGCGCACACACGCTTCAAGGAAGCGAGGCATGGTTCAGAGGCTCGCTGTGATGAACATTCATACATGGGGGCGAAAAAACTCTGTAGTAAAACGTTACGCATAGTATTTTCTTCACTTCCTCATTTTGCTTCAGAGTTATCAATCTAATTTTGTCTTAGTGATCACAAAGGTTAACAAACGTAGTTGATAACCTTTATAATGTTGATAACCTTTATAATGTTATTTCTATACTACAGTCTTGTTTTTGCCCATATTAGATCATGGTTTTCTGCCTGATAAAAGAAAAGGAAAGGAAAAACCTCAAAATTTCCGTTGCGTCATTGCAAAAGGTTCAGAATATGAGAGCGGTTCACAGACAGGAAGCACTGTGCCAGGTGTTAATGATCTTTTCAGATTAGCTAATTTATCAGAGGCGTCTGGTCTCCACTGGTATATTCTTATGTTTTTATGTCCAAAGATGTCGATGTCAGCCTGTGAACGTCTTTAGTAAACACTGCTGTACCATGTGTAAACTTTGCATAGTAAACTTTGCATTTTTCCACACTGCAATAATGCATACCTGATGTGGCCACAGAAAAATGAGAGGAGGATGGTAGGGAAAGTACCTACTTTTTCATTCAATTTACATTGAATTCATAGCATAGGATTTGACTCACCGTTACAGGAATTTGTAAATTAAGTCATTTTTCTTTGTTGATACTCCTGTTTTACTTCCTACATAACAGCATTTTTTAAGGGAGCTAGTAAATGTTGGGTTTTTACCTTCTTTAGCAGAATTAGGCTTGTCTATGTGTAATGAAGGTGATACAAACACATTGGACGGCAGCTTAAATTTATTATCTAAATAATTTGCCGTGTTTGAACTCAGCTTATAATGTTACATGTCATTTCTTTTACAACCCAGCACCGTAACAACCGTTTACATTACAGCCTCATAAAATCTTTTTAGGTTTTATCGCTTTCCCCCTTCATGGTTTTATGGTCTATGAATTGCTACTTTAAGCTCCGAACCTGTTTTTAACGGGGACCCCCATGATTTTTGTCAGTTTCAGTTCACTATCGCTCAGTGATGGTCTGTGGAATCACAGCACTGAAGTATAACGTCACACGAAAACCTCTTTCCCAGAGGTTTTGATTTGGCACTGGTTGACACTAACCTCATTCCAAATTTTAGTTCAAATGATGGTGAGATGATAATTGTGATATAAAGAAAAAACACGCCGCAAGCAATGAGTCAGCGTGATTTAGCAGAATGCTTTGAAAAAGCAGAACGCCGGTGCATCAAACATGGCGTCAGTCGTGGAAAATTAACTTTTGTATTGACCTTGGGTTACATTGTTGCTAGTTTACTTATTTCTGTGGTTGTGCTCAGAGAAAAATTCGTCTTACTGCTTTGTTTTCTTTGTTTTTAGATGCACACCATTTAGCTGTTATGGGTAGCATTTAACAAGTTAGTAAGTTTACTCCTACAATTGCTTTGTTAATTAAAAGACTGAAGTGATTATCACTGGGCCTATGCAGCACACCAGGCTTTAATTGGTGTGCAAAAATAGCTCACCAGCAGCTGGTATGACAAAAGGCAGCAGGAAAGCTACTCCCTGAGTAATGATCCTTATACTTATATTCACTCTGATGAGCAGACCCTGTTTTGATAATCTGGCACGGTGATGACTTCTTGCTCCATTGGCACTGTGTGTCTGGCTTTTAAAATCAAATATTCAATTTGATTAAGAAATAATCAATGATGAGTCACTTTATGATAATTCAGAGTCATTTATGTATTATACAGCATGGCAGAGACACAATAAGTGGGGACATGAAGGAGACATATGCACTTAAACTTGATGAAATGAGGAAACATCAGCGTCGTTTTTACTGAGATTGATTTTGAATGAGTGTAGAGCTGTTTTAGAACAATCGCTGCAGTCTTAAAATGATTCTGCCGTTGCCCAAGTAAGTAAAATGTGATAACATACACATTCAGAAATCCCAAAAGCAGCCAATAGTCTGAAAAATGTGATATGATAACATCTTCTGCTGTGCTCAGTGAATCATGGACATACTGATACTAATGCAAAGTGAACGCATACCCTGTCGACGTGTGTGGTATTACATAACACAAACACACACACAAAATCACACAATCAGGCCAAAATAGAAGGAGACATGGTAAAGCTTTTCCTCTCATTTTGAATATTTTCACTTTTTCTATCAAAACTTTGCAAAAATGTCTTACTAATAATAAAATCTGCCAAATAAATCTTTTACATAAATATGTAAAAAAGGAGCACAATGTCCTTCTGATGAAAGCGTAATCCTTTCAAAAGATAGCAACTCAGACTCAGGTCAAATGGTTAATTAAATGCTCCAAGTGACTATTAATAAACAGTGAAACAGGTCAGACTGACTTAATCACCATACAAAAGAATATTTACAAAACTACCATATCTTTATCACGGACCTTCTACTATATATCCAAGAAATAATATAGAATGTAATATACACCTTTTAGTTTATGTCTAATCTGTTTGAAAAAAAACAAATTAGAGTAATGCACCTTCTGTTTCTTTTGTTACTGTATCTAAATGATAACCAGTGATGCAATGCAATTTTCTGTAATTCTGTAAACCGCCTTGTAGAGATGATTTATTATTATTTAAACTCCATTATGCCTAAGTGCAAGGGTAAACCGGCCTGGCTTTTCAATGCACTTAATGGTCCAACAGCCAATCATTAAATCTGCAGCCAGCAGCTCATGAGAAAGAGTGCAATCAAAATTTGTGATCATGTTACACAATTACAGACAAAACATTTCCCGAGCAGCCAAAGTT